TAAGCATTTTGGCTATCGGTTTCCGAGGTTGGTCTTGTTTTAGAGAGCAAAGAATTCTGCTTAATGCAATACCATGAAATTATTCTAGACTCGCAGGCAAAGTAGAATAATGTAGTCGTGAAATAGCACTATTTTCCCGTTTTTCCGTTGTACACTCTATGTATTATTAGCTCTTGATATATATATATACGTACGTACGTACGAGTACCGATGAAATCCATTCAATAAAGCTCATCAGCGACTGTGCGCCCAAACGCAAATATGCCACCTGAGTACCACCAGCTCGCCCGCTAGTTCTCCTTCACAATGTGCCTAAAGCTGGCAAATAGAGAAAGAGAGAGCAAGCGAGAGAGAGAGAGCGCGAGCGAGGTTAAAGCGAACGGCAGTAAATGTCCCTCCACGGTCCGGCGTCTGCGCGACCAACAAGCCGGGGCGCTTTCGAGAGGTTTACGCGAGAGAATAGGACATAGAACGGATTACATTGGGCGGCCATTGCTATTGTTGGGCGCCTGTGAAGTACGGAGGACTTAATACCGCCGGCCGGCTGCGTTCTTGTAGAAGTGGGAGGAAAACCTCTCCACGGAAGAACGAAGATCGAGGAAAGATAAACAGCGCGAAGCTATAGCTACTGTGGGCCGCACCTATACGAGCTGCTGCGCTGCCGTGACTATGGGCAACACCTGCACGGCTTACCGCGTGCCACCGTGTGAGTCGCACCTATATACTAGCTACCGCGTGCGAACGTGGGACAAGCTACCGTGTGTCACTATATGTGGTCATACCATGATCATATCTACATATGTGTATGTGTACATTATATTAAGAGCTAATAAATATTAGTATTTATTAGCTCTTGATTATATATGTGTGTGTAGATATTCTGATGGTCATTCCTATTGAATAAGGTATGCCACGGTTGAGGCTACATCAACACGTTACCGTGCGCCATTCCTATGGGAACCTGTGAATCGACGTGAGCCATACAAATGGGCCACTGCATGTGCCCCACTGCAGCCATACCTATAAAGTAATGGGCGCCTCTGTGAGCCATGCCTATATGAGCTGCATGAAAATGCGCACCAGTGTAGGTCATACCTCTATATACGATCATGAATGTACACTCTACAGTCTACGTGTAGGCGATGTCTATAAGCTACTGTGTTCAACCGGGGGTTGTTCCTATAGGGGCTACTGTGTGTCCCTGTGTGGGTCATATCTAAATATATATATATATATCGGTGTGCTCGCGTCTGTTTATCCTTCTATCTTCTCTGTCAGTCGATTTGATTCATAGCTTGCCAATTTGCTAGAATTTCACTCTTATCGCAGTCCGCTCGTTCCATCCTCATCATCGACACGCCTTGCCGTCCACGTATCGATTTCTATCCATATATAAACCGCGATCCTTCTTCCCGTATTTGCGTGCTTTGTGTCATTTTTTCCTGCGCGTTGTGAATCGTATCTTACCTATGCTTAACGACGAACTTGTCTCGGTTGCTATGGGTACAGTTGCCGCCTTCCACTTTCGAATGGATGGAAATCGAGTTGCGTCGAATCAAAACCGTGTCTCGCACTCCGCTTTGAAACCAGCTTCCAGTCCAATCGATTGGAAACTGACATTCTGTAAATGAGAAAATATGTAAAATTATAATTTATTAACTTGCTAGCCAGGTTGAACACGTACATGCACATGTGCCCTCGGGAAGCAACGATTTCATTATTGGCAAGTTCCCGATAATTTTACTCTCTCTCTCTCTCTCTCTCTCGCTCTCTCTCTCTCCGAATAATTACTGATAGGCCACTAAACTTATATTGTGTGCCACATATCGCATAATTTTCCTTCGTTATCGGATAATTATTGCATCCGATTCACAGGGGTTCAGCAGAAAGCGACTTCACGACGTCCCATAAAATTAAATTGCGTAATAATGTTATCACGTGTAGATCAGATAATAGAGACTGTATTCAAAGAGGGTGGTATGATGTAGGCGAGTAATCATATGGATGATTAATGTCGTTATAATCAGATCTGCGTCGCTGTCAATGACAGAGGAAGAGGAGATAAATGCATGCTCATACCACATCTGCACTTTCTCATTATAAATATGAATTGAAATTCACGATGAAAATTTTATACATTACGTGCGTGTGTGTAGTTGCGTGCGTGCGTACGCGTGGGCGTGCGTGCGTACGCGTGGGTGTGCGCGTATGCGTGGGCGTGCGTGTGTGTAGTGTGCGTGCGTACGCGTGGGCGTGCGTGTGTGTAGTGTGTGTGTGTGTGTACGCGTGGGCGTGTGTGCGTACGCGTGGGCGTGCGTGTGTGTAGTGTGTGTGTGTGTGTACGCGTGGGCGTGTGTGCGTACGCGTGGGCGTGCGTGTGTGTAGTGTGTGTGTGTGTGTACGCGTGGGCGTGTGTGCGTACGC